AACCAGTTATATATGGAAGACAAGAAAGAAGCGAGTGACTGACTGAGCAAATTGATTATTGGATCAGCTCATTCATTCAACAAACACATGGTGAATCCCTTTGGATTTGAGAGGCAAGTGGGATTAAATGTATTGACCATGGGACTGGGACAAAATGGAGACAAGTCTCCATTTATTCAGCACAAATTTCATTTCTCTCTCTACTGGAAATTATCAAAAGATTTCTCTTTTGAAAAATCTATGTGTCAGGGACTGTGCTAGGTGCTGGGAATACTGAAGTGACCGAAGCCCAAATATTTCTTTTTCTGCTTCTGGCTTTTGCTTTGCCAAAAGGGAAACTATGTCTTCTGGAACACAGTGGACAAATGTGCAGCAGGTGAACAGAATCACATTTGCTGTCCAGCTGTTGTACCAGCTGTGCCACACGGGCAGTCCCCTCCACCTGTTTCACTCCTGTTCCCACCAATTCAGAACCGAGATATTCCAAGATATTTTTATACTCATCTCACATAACCCGAGCAGTGATGGAAGTTCTTTGACACTGATCTTGGAACCAAGCACATTCTACTTTCTGGAAATCCACATACTAGGTGGTCACTTCAATAGCAACAGACCCAGGTTGTAAAAGGCAGCAAGTCAGGGGGTTTCTTAGTGGCAAGGAGGTCAGTCCTCTCACTTCTGATGCAGGAACCATGGACAGAGAATGGATGAGGGAATGACCCAAAGTCATCCGGCCACATAGAGGACAAGCCAGGGTGATTCAAATCTCCTGGCTTTAAATCCACACTTTTTTTAAAAAAATTTTTATTAAGCCAGTTATGGCATAACCCACCAAATGAGTGCAGCTTTTCTTCTCCCTCTTTGAGGGGCCTGCTGGCTGCACAACTCATGTGGACACATCATGTCAATTTCAGGGTGGTTGACACCCTCTGACTTTGTCTTTTTCCTTTTGCAAAATGGTTACTGCCCAGAGCCAGCATCTCTTTTCCAAAAAGTGAATGTGCCAGGAGGAGTTTTGGAAACTGCTTTGTTATCTGTAAGGAGCCAGATGATTCACAGCAATGAACCAACACACATGACAAGGATACCTGATTGGATTACCAATTAGCCACCTCCACCTCTGGAGAGTGGTTGGAAAGAAGAGAAAAGGCAGTGTTTAGTTTGGGCAAATACCAAAAGGGCTTTATCATCCCCATCAGGGCATCAGCATGGCACAGTAGACCTCTTCCAAACCATTCCTCTGGAACTCCTCTCTCCAGATGCTCCAGCAAGAGTGAACTTGTTATGTGAACATAGGGTTATTGTGTCTGAGCTACAGAAGCACCTCTGTGTCAGCGAGAGGGGAGAAACCGGCTGACTTGTGTCTGTTTTTAATGATGTCTCTGCTGCTGTGGAATTTTGGAAGCTGCAGGTAAAAATCTTTCCCTTTGAAGCCAAGGCTGACCTGGGATATGTCAGCTCACTCTCAACCTGGCAGTAGCCTTGGTTCCGGTGGGCTCTGGGAGGGAAGGGCAGATGTTTTCTCCATCTGGACCCAGCAAGAAGCGCCCCAGTGTAGGATCTCTGGAATCTTCTTGAAAATAAGCATAAGCATGGGCAACATTAGTCCCAGTGTGGGTGAGGGTGGCTGAACCTGGAATGTTATGTTCCCCTAATCCCTGATGGGTACGTGCTCGCAGTTGCACCTGTGTGCTCAGGTGCCTGCCAGAGTCCAGGGCAAGCCCTACACCTGGGAGGTGGAGGAGCAGAGCCATTGCTTAGGCCCTGTCCTCTGGGGGTCAAGAAGGGATGAATAAGGAGGGGCAGCCACAAGCCCCTATCACGCCTTTGTGAGAGTCCAGAGAAGGTAGTCTCTTTGGCCTCTTGGGGGCAGGGCAAGGCTTCTGGGGGCACCTCATATGACAGGAAGGAAGCCCTTTCTCCAGGTTGTACAGCCTAGCCTCTAGGCATGGGGCTGGTGACTTCTGCCTCTGCTTTCCCTGTTCTTCAGATGCCTCTGGGCAGCACTCAGCCTGCTTAGCTGACACCTGGACACAAATGCTGGAGCTGCTTAGGCATTCCAGCGGCTCAGGCCAAGGAGCAGAAGGAAGCCATGTTTCCTTCAGTTACTTAAAAAGAATGAAGTTGTCTCTATAACCTTACTATAAAGGCAAAAGTAAATAGATTAATTAAAAAACAAAACAAGAATCCAAATAACTCTTTTCACCTACTCTACTCTCACATTCAACACAGAACACTTCTGTGACCAGATATATGAAAGTTCTTTTCCCCCACACCAAGCACGTCTCTAGCAGACCGTGACTTGGCATCCTATTACTCAATTCAGTCCTGACATTATCTACCTGGAGATGGCTCCCACAGGGTGAGGACTCAGTTCCACAAGACTGCTCCTACTTCAGATACCCATCAAACATCCCAGTGGGTGGCTTGTGCTTCTGACTCCCTCCTTGAACATAATATTTTTGCTCCTTGGCTCACAGAACTCAAAGAAACACTTAAGTTTACTGGTTTGTTATAAAAGATGTAAAAGCTGGAGGTAAATACCAGATGAAGAGATGCATAGGGTGAGGTCTGGCAGGGGCGTGCACGCCAAGCTTCCATGCTCTCTCTGGGCACGTTACCTCACACACCCCTACTCTAAGCAGTCAGAAGCTCATCAACCCTCTCTGAGAGCTTGATCTCCAGCGCTATCCCTCCCCTCTTTCTGGAGGCTGGTGGGTGGGGCAGAAAGCTCCAGTCTTCTAATCCCATAATTACTTGGTCTTTCTGGTGTCTGGCCCCATTCTGAGGTTATCTGTGGGGCCTACTCTAAGCCACTGCATTAGCATAAACTCAGTTGTTATCAAAGGGTCTCCCTATGAATAAGATACTCCTATCAAGCTGGAAATTCCAGGGGTTTTAGCTCTGTGACAAAGACCAAATACAGTTCATATTATACCACACTTGTATCCCCCATCTCCAATGCAAAGAGATCGGGGTAGGGCAGACTTCCAACTAGAGTGCTTAGGAGTATACACACACACACATGTCCACACACACGCGCACACACACACACACACCAAGGTACAACACACACATGTTCACACAGAGCTACATATTTTTTGCCCACATGCATATATGTTTACAGTCATAAGACAAACATGTACACATGCACAACCACACACACAGGCATGCAGGCCCATACACATGTATACACATATGTACGTATGTGTCACACATGAACATTCACACATAAACTGAAACATGCACTCATTCATAGGCCTGCATTCATCTATAGACACAAAGTCACTCATGAGTGTGCATGGATGTACACAAGCACACATACACACCACACAGGTATGTAAGCACACACACATCACCACTCAGAGACACGTGCTTACTACACCCATTCACCTGGACATGTGCACACACCCACCATACACATTTGAGACTTGAGGCTGCCCTCTTGTCCCTGTCATGGCCATGGCATATATTCCAGTCAGAACTCTCCCTTTATAAGGCTATCCAAGAGAAGGTGTGTGTCTGTCTGTTGTGATCTGTCCTGAACGATAGGACCTCCACGAGATGGTCCTAGGTGCTGACAGGACAGCCCTTCAAGCCTGGCTCATTTGCCTTAGAATCAGAAGACCAGGGCTGCCACACCAGCATAAAGCAGAAGGCTCCAGTCAGAGATGGTTTGGTCGGGGGAGAGAGAAAGAGTAAGTGTGGGGGATTGTGGGGAGGAAGGGATTGTATTTTGACCATCTCAGCCTTAAATAGAGAAGCTGCAAGCACAGAATGGAGTTATTGATCTAGGTATTTAATTTATATTTACAAAAATTCAACTCTTTTGGAAGTTGAGGCATGAGGATGGTGAGTTCAAAGCTAGCCTCAGCAATTTAATGACGTCCTAAGCAACTCAGCAAGACCCTGTCTCTCTATAAAATAGCAAAAAGGACCGGGGATGTGGCTCAGTGTTTAAGCGTGCTGGGTTCAATCCCTGGTACCAAACCAAACCAAACAAGCAAACAAACAAACAAACAAACAAAAGAATTTAACTATACTTGCTTTGAGGTCAGAATGAGGGGGGGCAGGGAGGGAGAGAGAAAAGAGATAAAGAGACAGAAAGAGAATATTTAAATAGAGAGGCATCCGGTCTCTGAGTGAGCCTGAAATGCAAGAGTGCTATCTGTCATCTTCCTGTTGGCTCTCAGTCCCACGTCCTCTGAGTGTGAGCTTCTCACAGCCTTTCTTTGCACAATCTGTCCCCAAACACTTGCCAGCCTCTTCATCTGGTCGTCCCTCCCCTCACAAGTGGTTGGGGGCGGGGCTGCAGTGAAGGAGCAGCTGGCTGGACTGTGCTTTCTTGATGATGGCCTGTCAGTCTCCAGCATGGCACCTCCCTGGGGATTTTGGAGGGATGATGGGGACTCAGCAATCTTCGCTCTGTGAGCTAACTTGAGAGCTCCTGTGGTCACTGCTACTGCACCGCCCTTGCACTTGTGCACTTGGCTAAGCACCGTGTCTCCAGGCTCCTTCAGGATGAGACCTTTAAGCAGGTTAAATCATAGTGGGGTGTGGTCTTGCCCTGCCTCACCCTCCAGTGGAAAGCCAGGGTTTTTTGCTCTCTGTGACTGCCTAGGCTGGAAGGTGGCTTCTGAGGACTCTTGCTATGGGCAGGGTCCCCAAGGTCTCTTACCTCGGGGGTAGGTTATGACTGGGTGTGGAGTATGCCTGTGGCACCCAGTGTGTGCCTCTCCCAGGAGCTCCTGAGCTGCGTCATCACCCGCTGCTGCCAGGGCAAGGAAAGCACTAAACGGCTTGGCTGTACGTGTTGGTGCAGCAAACCCTCAAACTTGTACCGACTCTTTAGGATGCGTGAACATTAATCCCACTGACATGGAAGGAACACTGCTGATTTCCCCTTTCCAAGGAGGAACTGACGTTGCCATGCAGCCCCGAGTGTGTAACACCCACAAGCTGACCAGGGAGGGGGATCCACGCGCCCCAGGAATGAGTACCTTGTCCTGTTGCCAGTGTCCTCACATTTGGAGTGCCTGTGGGGCTGCTGCGGCTTGATGTGTGGAGGCTATCCCGGTCCCCCTGGCTCTCCCGCCGTTTCCTTTCTCTAATCAGGGGTGGAAGGTCCAGTGGTGGTTTCACATTCAGGGACAGAACACTGTCATCTTCAAAAGTAGAAGGGGAAAAACAGGAGTGAGAGCTTCTGCATCAGCAGAGGGAGAGCGAATCTCTTTCCTAACTTGGTTGTTAGCTCCTGATGCTTAGGATGATGTAGTCACTTATCCTCAAGTTCCTCTCTTTTCCCATCTCGCTAAAGAACAGGGACCAGATATCCCCTGTAGCCAAGATGAAATCGCCCTTCATTTGGGGAGGAATTGAGTCTTGGTGTTTGTTATTCTCATCTTATGGGTGGGATCCTGAGATGGAAGTAGGACTAGAGATGCTGCAGACTCCTTCCACCCCCAATCTGAAGGCTCTGACAAGGGAGACCCCAGCTTTAGAGCTCATGGGATTATTGGATACAGATTTCTGACCACAAAATGATTTTTCTAGGAGGAGCCAATGGCCACATTCCATACTTATGATATATAAGGTAGGAAGTAAAGCTGCCCCTGAGTGTCCAGGACATGCTGGATACCCAGATCCTCAGATTCTCAAGTCCCTTATAGAAAATGGCATAGTATTTGCAAAGAACCTACATGCTCTCATATACTTGAAATTATCTCTAGATTACTTATAATACCTAATACAATGTAAATGATTCACAAATAGTAGTTTTTTTTTTTAAAGAGAGAGTGAGAGAGGAGAGAGAGAGATAGAGAGAATTTTTAATATTTTTTTAGTTCTCGGCGGACACAACATCTTTGTTGGTATGTGGTGCTGAGGATCGAACCCGGGCCGCACGCACGCGAGTCGAGCGCGCTACCGCTTGAACCACATCCCCAGCCCACAAATAGTAGTTATACTGTATCATCTGGTGAATAATGGAAAGAAAAATATTTGAGTTCAGTACATATATATATGTATTTTGCTATTATTTTTGATTTGTTGTTGGTGTGGATTTGGAACCCAGAGAAATGGATGGCCAATGGTACCACCCTCCAAAGGATAGTCAGAGGGTCACAGGATTGATGATAACACTCCAGAAAGTACATCATACCCCCACCTCTCTTCTCTCTTTTCATAACCCGCAGGGACTGGGCTAGGGTGGCTGAAACCCAGGAACCTAAGTGACTGAGCTTTGGCTTCATCTTTCAGAGAGAGTGATGTTTATTTCACGTCCAACACAACTGTTACTTTTGGGGTTTAAAAGCTGGCTTCCCATACCGCTTCGAAATATCACAGACTGCTTATTTATTACAAAGGAGAAAAAGAATCTTTGTAGAATGCAAATCTAGCAGACAGCATCTTTAACTGAGCAATGAAATTTAACATTAACTATAATCGAGCAAATTGACATTTTGTGTCCCTTGATGTGATACACCGAGAAGGACACTACATCCTATGTGATATTCCTGTGAGAAATGTTGAATCTGAATCTCATTATGAGAAAACAGACCAACTGGGTGGTAATTCTGGCAACTGGCCCATCTTCTTCAAGAATGTCAATAATCAGGGCTGAGGCTGTAGCTTAGTGGTAGCGCTTGTCTCACATGTGTGAGGCACTGGGTTCAATCATCAGCACCACATAAAAATAAATAAATAAAATGCAGATATGGTGTCCATCTGCAGCTACAAAAATTTTTAAAAAGAATGGTGATAATCATAGAAGAGTCTGAAGAATTCCTCTATTAAAAAATTCCAAAGAGATGTGACAACTAAGTGTCATGCATGACCCTGAGTTGAATTCTGGATTGGAAAAACAAAAATCTGTAAGGAATATTACTAGTATAATAAGAGAAATCTGAATGTGGATTGTATATTAGAAAATAGAATTACGTTAATAATACTTTTCTTGAGTGTGATAATTGTAGTTAGGAAGAGAACTTTCTTTCTCTTAGGAGATATGTAGTGATAAGGAATAAGATATACAATGTCTGGAGCTTGCTCCCAGATGGTTTGACAATAAAATAAAATATGTATGTGTGAATATGAAGATATAAACATGGTTTCTGTGCTATTAAAGGTGAAATAATCCAAGGCTAAGCAAGAATATGGGCATGTGCAATCTCTGTGTCCATGGGACAGTCCCAATTTTTAGCTCTAAATGCCCTTGCAGCAAAGCATGGTGGTGCATACCTGAAATCCTTGCTACTCAAGAGGCTGAGGCAAGCAGTTTGCAAGTTCAAGCCCATCCTGGGCAATTTAGTGAGAATTTGTCTCAAAATAAAATAAAAAGGGCTGGGGATGTAGCTTAGTCATAGCACTACATGTATGTAAGTAAGTATATGTATTTAAGAATGTATGTATGTGTATGTAAATATTACCACATACCCCTGCATGAGGGTATGAGCAGAATGCCAAGAAAAACTTGCTTCTTTGGATCCCTTTCTTTATGCATCTACTACTAGGTTAGGTCACATCTACTACTAGGTTAACTCACATCTATGTATCACAGACTTCTTAACTTCTGCCTGGCAGGCTGGCAGGAGATGGACAAGCTCTAGATACTGAGCCCTTGCTGGGTGGATATGGCAGCTCACAACTAGCAGAGAGCAGTGCAAGACGAACCATACTGAAGACAGAATTTGCCCATGTTGTCATCATGAGGGCTCTGACCCTCATTGTTTAATTTGAACAGGGTTATTGGGAAGTTGGACCTGGTTAGAGGAAGTAAGTAAGTTACTGGGAGCTGCCCTGGAAGGATTGATCTTGTCCCTGGCCCTTTCTTCTCTCTTTCTTTCTGCTTCCTGGCTGCCATGAGCTAACAACTTTTCTCTGCCACACCCTTCCACCATGATATGCTGCCTCACCTCAGGTCCAAAGCAATGGAGGTGGAAGACCATGATCTGAAACCTCTGAAACTGTGAGCTCCAAATAAACTTTTCATCCTTTAAGTTGTTTATGTCAGATATTTTGGTCACAGCAACAAAAAAATGACTATTGCAGCACTTCGGGCTGTGCACTCGACAGGGCACCCATAGGTAGAAAGCTGCTTTCTTAACTATTTGCACACAGAGTGACCCTTGCCCACATTTCAATATTGTATAAAGGAAACTGTAAAGTCTTTAGGATGATGAATGCTCACATAACATACTAAATAAGCCTCTGCCCCAATAGTCAGAGGATGTTCTTAAAACCTACATGTTTCAAAAATGTCCTGAGCCAAGTTTATTGATGGATTTATTCTGAAAGGCAGTGCAGTGTAATGGGTGAAAATCTGAATTTTGGCACTAGAAAACCCGAGTTCCAATCCCAGCAAGGCCACATGGAGTTGTGTGACTTCAAACAAGTCACTTATCTCTCAGGGCTTCTGTTTTCTGATTTGTACAATGAACATATAGGATGGTGGTGGAGTGCCTGAGATAATACATGTTAAAAACCAAGAACAGTGATTGGTACAGAGGGAGAAGGATATACATCCTTAAGGTGCATTCTTTTCTTCCTGCTTTACTAGTCAGAGATCACTTGACATTGTGAGCGTGTTATCTTGCACATGCCTCTTGAAAAGAAGGCTCGGTTTTCTGAAAACGAGGAGCTTTCTAAATATGGTCCATCACTTCCAACCTATCTAACACATTAAAATACACACTTAGCTGCATGCATGTGTATAATTCCAAAGACCATATGATATTTTGAAAGCCTAGCATGAAGATCTTCATTGATATTTTGGACTTTTTAACAAACAAGTACATTTCCATAAACAGATTTAAACTGATTTTCATTGTTTAAAAATAATTAACTATATGGCATACAGCAAATTTTTAATGAGTTTGGTGCCATTTTACATCTGCAACCGGAAAATATTATAGAAGGATGATTTAGTGAGTAAGTAATTTGTGAGCTAGATACTAAGTTAGTTGTACTAAAGCACTTTGGTTAAGGCAGCTGCTGCCTGAACAAAAGCCATCTTCAAGTGCTTAGGGATGAACTGACCTCCCTTCCAGCCTTCTTTTTCTTGGCTGAGGCCCTTTGTGTGTCTTGCCTTGCGTTCCTTCAGGGTGAGATTCCTGTGGGATGCTGGAGGGAGGGAGGAGCTACCTGATGGAGAGGGCGTGTCCCTGCCTGTGTCCACTGGGAGATGCACAGTTATGGCCATTGGCCTTTGTAATGACGCATGCTTCAGGGGAGGCCTCCATAAAGGCCTGGCCTCTTCTGTTTCTGGTTCTGACTCAGGGCATGGAGCACCTAGGAGACAAAGAGAAAGCCAGTTGTAGTAGATGGCCATTGTTTTTGCCAGGTGTCTCTTTTTTGGGAGACCCATCCCTCCCCGGCTCATGCCATGTCCTTTGGGTGGAGCTCTGTCCGTTCCCTGACTCCAGAGTTGGGCATGTGACTATAGCCTAGATTGCAGGCGGACATTATTGCCTTAGCCACAGTGATTAGTTCTGGGGGAGGGATGTGTATGTGTGTGTGCACCTTGGGTAGAGGTGGTGGATACATAATCCAAGCTTGGCCAATCAGAGGTAATTTTGGCACTTCAGCAAGAGCTTTGAGATATATATATATTTTAATAAAGGTAAGCAGGTAGGAGGTTAGCATGGAATGCAGGAGGACATCTTTGTTGCCACAAGTGGGAGCATGCTTGAAGAGAGAAGGTAACATACCTGAGAGACTTAGCCAAAAGCTGCCCAGATATTTTCTGAGGTCTAGGTCCAACTGGTCCTGGAATTAGCTGATCCTGCCTGCCTCCTTCCTTCCTTCTTCCCTCCTTCCCTCCCTTCCTTTCTTCCCTTCCAATACTGCAGTCTTGGGGTAGGCTTCTGATTTTACTAACTGAAGGAGTCCTCACTGTTCTTCAAATTCCTCTTGTAAAGGAAAGAAGAACCCAGTGGATTTACTTTCTTAATACTCTATTCCTATTTTCACTTGACAATGAAAGCTCACTGTACCTAATAGCTTTCAGAATTTGGTTCATGATGGCCTAGTGGTCTTCCTAACCTTCTTGCCAGGGTCATCATGGAAAAACATCAGATTTAACCCTCTCTTGTGGATAATCTTTTTTCTGTTCATGTTAAGTATGTCTTTTGTTTGCTGTTTTGACATCTGGAGCCTATTGACCCTGGGGAGACTGTCCCTCCCAAGGCTAGCCAACTCCTAGAGAAAGTAAATGACTATCCTGTGAGGGTATTTGTCACATGTAAACCAACCAATCCAGAGTCCTTAACACCTAATTATCTCCTTTATTGAGCTCTTATCCTTCTGGGTCATTATCTCCCTGCCTTAATCACCCCAGAGCCAGTACCAGACAACCAGGGATAGCCCTTATATCCGAGGGCCCACTGGATTAGTTAAACTAGCCAGTCCTAAATTTGCTTAGCCTGCTCACCCTGCCTTGTACATTCCTTCTGCAAAAGTCATAATAAAGACACTTCACACCCCCACTCCCACCCCTCACTTTCTGCCTCCTGACCAACCCCAGTGCTTCCCTATGCGGCCCTGAAGGTCCTGGTATGCCCACTTCTCTTGGAACCATGAATCATGAACCATCTTCTCAGTGCAATTGTCTTCTGATCTGTTGGCCTCATCATACCTGAATAAGACCTACATTTACAAGCACTGTTCTGTCATTGTTGTTGGAAGGAGCTTTTTTTTTTTTTTTTAACTAAAATCTACAAATAGTGAAATGCACAGATCTTAAGTATGCAATTCAATGAATTTTGACAAATGTATCAGTCTATACAACCAACCAAGATTTAGGCATTTTCATCACTCTAGAAAGTTCTCTTATGCTCCCTTCCATTGACTGGTCTTTTATCCTAAACATTTAGGCATTCTTCACAGTGAGAATTCCACATAGCCTTAGAACAAAATGGCCAGAAGTCAAAACTCTCTTAAGAAATCACTGGCAGTTTCTGATGAAGTTTCTAGAAAGTTCAGAACCCCTCAATATTGGAGTCAACTTTTGCTTTAGACTGCCCAAAAAAGTCCCAGAAGCAATAACTTGTTTGAGGCAAGCATACTACACAATGGCTTAGGAAAGTCAGAAAGAATTTCTCCATGTGACACAGGGTGAGAGATCACCTAGACCTTTTTCAAAAGCCTTCCTAAGTCCCCTGATTTCTCACTTGCACAAAATGTCTTACAACTTGGCTGAGGCGAGGGCTGGGGTTGTAGTTCAGTGGTAGAGTGCTTGCCTAGCCCACGACACACTGGGTTCCATCCCCAGCACCACATAAAAATAAAAGTATTATGTCCATCTACAACTAGGAAAATACTTAAATGTTTCTCTTTGGCTAGCAAGGCAATAAACTTTCTTTTCCCTTTTAGAAAGAAAAGAAAAAAACTTTTGCTGAGAAGCACAAAATCTCTGCCCTGACAAGGATTGTAGACGTCATCTGTTAACATAATAACCTAATTCAAAATCATGAAAATGACTTTTTGGACAAACTTTTATCTTTCTTTTATAAAATGAAGGCTCAAAGATCCAAGAATTATTTTTACCTTGATTGCCAGGAAACTCTGCTAAATTCAATTGTTAGCTATAACTTCATCCCAGATGTCTAATAACATCTATTTTCTGCTCCTTTTAATCAGTTTTTTAAAAACAATTTCAATTCGAAATGTCTCGTTTGGTATTGCATTTGTTTTGTTTTGCACGCTGCCTGAAAATTCCTGCACATTTATAACACCTGTGGTGCACTGGACCTGTTTATGGGCATGCCTGTCTTTGTTTCCTTTCCTGCTTCAGCAAAATGTGCTGCTTAATGAAGGACTCCATAAATATTTTAAAAATTCAATTAAATGTGACCGGAAGAGACCCAATTCTAGATTTTATAGTTTCCCCTTTTACTTCTTTTAAAGAAATTTATCTGAAGAGGATAACCCTGGGAAGTTCAGCCTTGATTCAGGAGTGGGTTGTTGGCAGGAGGACCCCAAGGGTCAGTCCTTTGTTGCAGGCCTGAGTTCTCTCAGGAACACCCATAAAAGGTACCTACCTCTTTTGCAGGCTTTTTCTTTTGGGGGGTGTTTGGTGTGGAAATGAATCTCCATTGGGATGATGAAGAGCTCTGTTGGGGGTTCATTAGCTTTAAATTGCCTCCTCAGGGGGTTGGGGACTCTGGGTGGTTCTTCTGAAATGGGAGGTAATTTCAAAGCCTTTGGCGCCTGAAAAATTTAAACACAAAATCAACATGGCAGGTCTCCAAACCCTGCTGCCTGCAGGGGCCAAACAATATTGTATCTTATTGTCTATCTTGCTGCAGAAGCTGCTGGGGGAAGGAGCAAAACTAATCCAGCTCCTGCCTTCAGTGGGGCTGCTTGGCTTGATGACATGTGCCCGTATCCTGCCTTGGATTATCCTGAGAGTTACCAACAGAGTTAAGAGGTTTTGAGAGGACATATTGTCTCTCTTTCTCATGAAGCTGGGTAAACTGATACAAATTGAAATGATATCACTGAGACCTCTATGTATGGAGAAAGAGAAATCTCCACATATATTGTTAAGGGGCAAAGCCAGGTCAGAACATTGTTTGATTGCAAACTTTCAGGTATGAAGGGGCAGAATATAAGAATATGTATTTGTGTTTGTTTACCTAAAGTAGCCTCTCTAAGCCTCAATGTCTTCCTCTGTAAAATAAAGGTAATTAGATACAGTGGCACATGCCTGTAATCCCAGTGACTTGGGAGGCTAAGGCAGGATGATCACAAGTTTGAGGCCAGCCTCAGCAACTAAGCAAGACCCTGTCTCAAAATAAAAAAATAAAAGGGGCTGGGGATATAGTTCAGTGGTAGAGCACTCCTGGGTACAATCACAGGTAAGGTGTGGGGGAGATAAAAGTAATCATATTACCAATCTCTTAAGGTTGTGTGAGGATTAAATGAGTTAGTATATGTAGTTACAATAGTGTTTGGAATTAGGGTTATTTCTATGCTATTTCTCTGAGAGTAGGTTATTTTTAAATTTTTAGTGTTTGATACCTTATCTGGCCTCTGGCAGAAAATCTAAGCTTCACAATTATATGAACATAGCTAAAAAACAATCATCAACCATGTGTATCAGAATCACCAATTAATTTGGCCCAATTTCTTTCTGTTCACACACACACACACACACACACACACACACACACACACACCATGGTATATATATTTTATACATATATATATATTTTATATATGTAAATATGCACTTACATTATACATATAAAATATACATATTTACATGGATGGAAAAATGTTATATATTTATGTATAAAATAAGGGTATTACAGTCTCCCTTTTCCAATTATTCAGAAGTTGCTGAAAATTTCACTTTTAGCTTGCAACTGTTAACGTATGAACTTGGCTCTATGAAATGTATGTGGTGCTGAACTTCAGAGAGTTCGATTTCACAGGAGGAAAAATAAAAACATTCTCATTTTTTCACTGTGTAAAAAGAAAAAAATGATCAGAAACATACATAAGCATCCTATATGCCTTCAGTTGATTGAGGAAGGAAATTCTACCCAATTTATGCAGGATAATGTTTATAATTTTGAGACATTAAGAAAATGATTAACCAAACACATGCACATAAGATCTTTATGCTCCTGGAGACCTTCCCTGTCCAGGTGCCTGTTGCCCACCAACTGCCCTTTTGTGAATACTGACCTTGTGCATTTAGTGTGACAAGGACTGCATTGAGAAATCTGTGTGGAAACTCAAACTATTTGTGTGAGGTAGGGTTGACAAGCCAAGACTTAATTTCTTTATTCTAATTAGAAATTCACACAGAGTTTTAATATAGTGGGAAATATTGCTCTCCTCTGTTAAATGAATACTTGGTTGAGGGAAGAAACTCCTTTCCTCTTCCTCTGAGCCTAGCTTAGCTCTGGCCTGAGCCAGGCGTGAGAGCCAGGCCTTTCCTTAGACTTGTGGTGACTCTGACAGGTCAGACCTGCTGTTTGCTCTTGGCCCTTCTGGTGTGAGTGGAGAAGTTTAGAGTGGCTCAGACACAGGAAAACAGAAAAACCTGTGTAGAATGAAAAACGATGCCCCTCATGGGCACTAGTACCACCTGAATGCCCACAGATCCTTCAGGAACACTTTAGATTACCCAAATCTTCACAATTAATTAATATCATGGTAGTTCCCATATAGACAGAAGATTCTCTCCTCATCCTGTTCTCATCCTTCCATCAACTCTGCAAAATTGGCATCATTATCCAGGCATACAGATAAAGGCACTGTGGCTTTGATATCATAAATGACCTGCTCTCATTCACATAGCTGCAATGAGGCAGAACATTCTGGAACCCCTAAGCATTCCCATTCATCACTGGTGCCTCTAAAACCATCAAAGACCCATATAGAATTGCAAGGCAGAACCAGGCCAGAGACGGTCAAGGACATCTCTGAGAATGGATTTCTGGAGGGGGTTGATAAACTTACAAAATTTACTCTATATTTGCAAAGGTAGACAGACCCTCAATTGACCAAAGTGTTGCTGGAGTCAAGTTTTCCCACATTTTGAGTTTGAAGCGGTCCATTGTTTACAAGCCAAATTCTGTCCTTGCTTGTTTATAGATAATCCCTAGGTCCTTGCTGGGTGCACAGTGGTACAGTTGCTTGGGAGGCTGAGGCAGAAGGATCGCAAGTTCCAGTTTAGCCTGGACCGCTTAGTAAGCCTCTGCCTCAAAGTAAAAAATAAAAAAGCTCTGGGGATGTAGCTCAGTGGTGGAGCACCCTGGGTTAAATCTCCAGTAGTGAAAGAAAAAAAATCCCCAGCCCTTTAACAGAACAAAGGATTCTGGTGCCCCTAGAGAGAGTGTGGAAGAGCATATGCTTTAAAGGTATAATTGGGGGCAGCTGGATTCCTTGATCTTGATGATTTTTAGTACTTAGGAAGTTACTACAGCTCTTTCCCAGCTCTACCTGCTGCGCTCTGAGCTAGAGAGGCTAGTTCTCTATTGAGACATCCCTTTGAGTCACCTTGTTTCTAAAAAAGGATCACACACACACACTCACACACATGCACAGGCACACACATGTGTGCACACACACCTTTTTTTTCTTTGCTTCCCCAGGGGTGTTTTGTTCTGAGCCAATGGCAGATGTTATTGGAGGGAGAAGGCACCTTGCAGCAGGAAGCTCCTGTGGCAAGTGGCTGCCTCTGGCCCTGTGCCATTTCATATTTCCTTGTTTGTCTGTAGAAACAGGATGGGAATGAGAACCTATTAGCTACAGGTATGGAGATGGACAGTTGACTTTCAACTTTTATCACTTTTTTTTTTTTTTAAAGGGAAGAAAGTCTAGGAGGGTGTGGGGACTGAGATGGCCAAGGCTTTATCTGAGTCAGGGTCAGGGAGTCCCAATCATTCTCTGTGTTGGGTTCTGAGTCAGCTGATGTAGAGAATGACAACAATAATAACTAATATGTAGTGAGCATTAATGGTGAAAAGAGAATTATGCATTAACTCACTTAATCCCCACAGTACTCTTGTGGAATATTATTATTCCCCTTCTACAGAGGAGGAAACTGAACCTCAGCCAAATTAAATAATTTGCCCAGGATTATAGCTAGTAAATGGGGGATAGTTTGAACCCAGACATTCTGATTGTAGAATTTGCATGGTTAAGTACCAGGCAAGGAGGTATCCCCCCCCCCCTCTGGCTATTATTTTCTAAGGTGAGTGGCACACAGAAGTAACATTCATCATGCCTGTGTTCTCAGGTGAACTCTGCACAATTAGTTTTAACTGGATCAATTGGACAAGAATTTTAGTTTCTTACCACTGAGATCAGCCTTCCTATTGGGGAAGGCACCTCCATAAAATGTCATGTGGGATTTGTCACTCAGGAGCCAGGAATGACTGATGTAGGCATGCCCAAGGGCCTTCTTGGAGGTTTGCTGTGTCTTTTCATTGTGGCTTTCCTCTGAAGCATGTATATGAAGGTGATCCTCCACTGATGTGTCCTAGGGAACGACAGATACACAGAACTATAAACAGGCTGTCACAAAGCAACAGAACAGGTTCCTGTAACAGCCCCTGTGGCTAGACTTGTGGTTCTAAGGATGAAATTTGTTTTGCAAGCTGGAAAGACATACAAAGCTGTGTGTAACAATGAAACATTTTATTATTGATGATAGAGAGAATGACATAGTGCGTTCTTTGTTTCTTTTTGATGCTGGGGATTGAACCCAGGGGTGCTTAACCACTGAGCCATATCCCTAGCCCAACATAGTGCTTTCTTTAAAAATTGTTTTTTAAATGAAAATAAAAATGAAGTGATTGTATCATTGCCTTTATCCGTTATAAAATGTCTCTCCTCTCCTTTCTTTAGCTATGTGGCTCTTTCTTGGCATATGACCTTGTAAATCAAACAAGTTTATTCAAGATGGGAGCAGATAATGTCTATGTTGCTCTGAACAACTGTTATCTCATACCACTCCCCTACACAGGCCTTCGAGTTGATAAAGTGTTTCTACATTTTAAGTCATTTAATCCCCATAGTAACCTTGTGAGAAATATATGATTATAGTTCTACTTTGTAGAAGAATTCATTCAGATTCAAAGTTAGTTGAATTTTTTTTCTTTTTCTTCTTCTTTTTTTGGTATCAGGGATTGAACCCAAAGGCACTTAAGCACTGAGCCATATCTCCAGCCCTTTTTATGTTTATTTTATTTTTAATTTTTGAGACAAAATGATAGAAAGAATGACATAGTACCTTCTTTCCTTCTTTTTTTTTTTTTTTTGGTATTGGGGATTGAACCCAGGGATGTCTTGCTAGGTTGCTTACTGCCTTGATAAATTGCCAGTGCTGGCTTCAAACTTGAGATCCTCCTGTCTCAGCCTCCCAAACTGCTGGGATTACAGATGTGTGCCACCACACCTTCTTTGAGACAAGGTCTCACTAAGTTGTTGAGGCTGGTCTCAAACTTGTGATCCTCCTGCCTCAGTATCCTGAATTGCTGGGATTACAGGCATGTGCTACCATGCTCAGTTCAAAATTAGTTGAATTTCTTGTACCATGTTTAAAGCCAAGAGCTCTTCTTCCTAGATAAGGCTACAGATGGGGTGAAGAGTCAAGGGAGGAGCCGTGGTTCAATGATTTGGAAAATCTGGAGTTAAATAAAGTTAGGCTGGTGACTTCACTATAGGATAGCCTGAAGTGCTCCATATCTAAGTGTGTCCTCTGACTTTGCTTGAAAAGATGTATGTAGCATTTCCCCAATGTCTTTTGCTATAAAACCCTTTTCTTCAAGGAATATTTGACAGTGTTCTTTAAGGAATATCTCAAGTGACACTTTGAGAAACTGGTCAAAGCATTCTTCTCTTCTCTGGAGAACCCCAAGAAATGGCAAAGGGAGGAAGGATTCCATAAGTTTGCAACCATGTTACACAGAGTTCATTAAAGTGGTACCTTTGCTGGGGTTTTCTCTTCCTGCCAGGGCTGCTTCCTACGTGGCAGCAAGTGAGTCTCTCGACTACTGCGGTTCTTGGCTACAGAGTCCTGGTTCATGTGTCCACCAGCCCCAGCTTCCTCTTCATCCAGGCCCCATTGACCTGCAAGAGTGGACAGTGGATCAACCTAGAACCCCAGAAATGGGCATGGTGATTTTGCTATCTCCAAATTGCCTCCCATCTTGCTTCTTTGAGCAAAAGTAGTCAAAGCCCTTGTTTCTCCTGCGGCTCCTCCTTTACCTCTTTTTTTTTTTTTTTTTTTTTCTGGTAGTGCTTCTGTAGAAATGGCAGCCAATTGCTGGAAACAGGGTCAGGAGACTAGGGGAAGAGGCTCTGTTGACCACTGTTTTCTCACCTGCAAGGTGAGGATACTAATTTCTTGCCCTTACTTCCTTGCAGAGCTGTCTGGAGCTCAAATAAGATAATGAATGTGGCTGCCTGGGATTTGTGGATTTCAGCGGTGGCACGGTGGTGGTGTGACCTGCAGCCTTGCTTGGTTGTCATAGAGATGCTCCAGTCTACAGCAGGCTCTTGGATTTCCTGGGTGTCTCCCCGTTGTTTACTTAGGGAAAACCCCTTAGGTGTGCAGCGAGGTGGGACTGCTGCTCAGCTCTCTGGATTTACCCTGTCTGCAACCCTTGGGAGGGATCTGAGTCAACAGATGACTCCAGCATAGTTAACAAATCTTTCATCGATGGTTTAAAGGGTCCTGCAGCTATTTTCATCACTTACTCAAGGTAGATTTATTGCTGAAACTGTCTGGCAAACCTTCCTTGTTTGGAGCCAAGCTTTAGCAATCCCTTCATTCCCAGCATGCAGCTCTGCAGAACAAAGCAGGGTTGTCTTTCAATCAGGGGCTCTGGAAGCCTTCAGGGGCCCTGTGTGAGATGGAACACTAGACTTCCGGGAGCTCCTCCTCCTTCCCCTAGCCAGCCTCACTGTTCCTCTATGCTCCCCAACCCTCACCTGCTCTCATCATTCCCTTCCTTGTGTGTTGGGTCAAGAGCTGAACGCTCATGAGTGGAGCTGCTCACCCCCTCCAGCTCACCTGCCTCTGCCTATTGGTTCCTGAAGCCTACTCTGATTAATGCTGATTCTGTTGGTGGCTGTGACACAGGTGCAGGTTCCAAAGTCTGCCCAGGTTTTAGTGGCCCAGGGAAGCCTGAAGCCTGATGAGTCCTGGGGATTCCTCAATCTAGGTGGCCCAAGGCCACATTGGACTTGCTCTCTAGGGGATCTCAACTCCAACTGGAGTGCAACACTGAAGAAGACCTTTTGGGGTCTTCTAGAATGTTTCTTTGGAGTCCAGTCAGACTACAGATGCATCCTTCTTGGAGCCAGATATACTTCTGAGGTTGGAGAAAGTGAGACTCTAGTCAAATGGTCCTTCACTCAACTGGGTGACATATTAGTGTCTAAGTTGGGACAGGGGCATTGTGGTAGGGGAGAGAGAATCATCAGCCTCTTTGGCCACATCTCAGGTGAACTCAATCTATGTGATGGTAACAAGAATTTTATCTTCGTCAATGTCATTATCCAGCTCATTTGTTTATGCTTAATGGAAACCAGTTTGTAAGAAAAGTACTGGAAATTTCAATTACTGAAAGAAGCCCACAGAACTGTCTCTCTGTATCTCACATATGCAGGGGAGGGGGCATCCAGCTAGCAATTCAGAGCTTTTAGGGAGCTTTTTCCCTCTGTCTTCACCTGTGATTTTCTACACAGCCAGAGAGGAAGGAATGCAGACACCCTTACTCGCATTTTACAGAGAGGCAAGCCAAGGAGGCAGGGAATGTGAGCAACTGGGCCAATGGCTTGCCTCATTGTTGGGGGGCCTGGGGCTTGCAGTCAGGACTTTTGCTACTTCTCCAGATAAAGTGTTTGGCAAAGAGAGGGAGGCCAAGGGGAGATAAGGTTAAAAACCAATGAAAACATTAATTAGGTTTCAAGTTATAGCCTCTGAGCTCCGTTTGCTTCTTAAAACGTTGATTTTTTTCAGCCCCTGTGATTATGGGCAATTGGGCATTGCAATCAGTTAGTAATTATACTTAAAAAACAAGAGCTGGGAAGTTCATAATTAATATTTATTGAGCACTTACTATGTACCAGGTACTGAATTATCCCATTTAACTCCCACATATGACCTTGTGAAGTAAAGGTGATATGGTCACCTCCATGTTATAATGAGGAACCCAAGACCCAAAGAGGTCATCTAGCTTGGAACCTGGTGCTAATGGCCACATGCTTAGTTATTATTCTATACTACCTCTGTGTCCCTGACTGAAACTGTGACAACTCTGTAAATCTCTGTAGTATAAAATAGCTTGCAGACAGATCACAATGATTTCCTGTGCAGTAACCATGTAGGTCTTGATGTGCTGTTGCAGGGATGAGCAAACAGAAACTCAAAGAGGTGAACTGACTTGCTCAAGATCCTATAACTTGGGCTGGAGTTGTAGTTCAGTGATACAGCACTTACCTAGCATGTGTGAGGCACTGGGTTTGATCCTCAGCACCACATAAAAATAAAATAAAGATATATATATACTACTGGTTTTTTAAAAAAGTTCCTACATCTTGTAAATGACAGAACAACCACAACAATTCTGATTTCTGGCTCCAAAGCTTATTTCCCCCCCCCCATATAATATTGCTACCAAAAAAAATCAAAGGATTAAAGGATATTCAAGTAGAATAGACCTAAGAAATCATCTAAAATATAGAGTCTATGCATGCACAGCTCAATACAGTATATATATATATAGCCATTAGATACATGTGGCTATTTAGATATAAATTAATTAAAATAAAATAAAATAAAAAGTTCAGTTTCACCATTGTAGTAGCTACATATCAAATGCTCATTAGACTTAAGTGGCTGATGGTTACTGTATTGGACACTATATAGAACATTCCATCATTTCAGAAAGTACTCTTGGATAGTACTGGTTTAGACTAACTCCTTCATTTTATAGATGATGACAATGGAACATAGAATCCCTAGATCTTATTTGCAGAAAATCCATTTTAAGGTGTTAAAATCCAAATATTTGAGCACTAGTCCCAAAAGCAACATGTACCTTGTTCAAAAGGTTTTTCTTGTTGAATCCAAAATGGAGGGAAGACAGGCAGGAGATGGTATTTTGGGGGCACACCTGAAAGATCCTGTTGTGGCCTGAGACTCTTTGGCACATTAAGTTGACTTTCCTGAAGCAGCACAGAATCCTTGATGTGTCCTGAAGAACAAGTCAGAAATTATTTGTAGAAATATGGTCTCTGATCTAGAGTTTTGGAAACAACAAGTTTCCCCACTTGAACTAGTCTTGGCTTTGAGTAATGCCCATAAAGGAAGATAGTTAGAAGATGAGAGGGATTAAGAAATGAGATTGAGCCCATTGAGGTTTCTCTGTTCTTCTAGTCTTATGCTATAAGTATGCTTCTTTAACTTCACCATTCCCCAAAACTGGATCTTCCTCATGTAAGAAACATGGCTGTTTACTTGGAGTTGGGTGAAAGGCTCATTCTGCCTAGGAGGAGGCATCCAATGGTGGTGGATATATCCTGTTTGCTTCTGTGGGCCTTCTCAGTCTAGTCATTAAGCAAGTTTCTGTTGAAGGCTTGCTTACCCTCTGTCAGGCAGTAGGGTGGATACAGCGGGACCAGACATGGTCCCTTTTTAAAGACACTCATTCTATTGGACAGACAGAGCTCCTTTGTGCTCAACTGTGTGGCCCCGAGTGTCAGTAAGGATCGAAAACAAGAATTTCAGTATGGGCTGGAGTTGTCAGAAAAGCCTTTGGAGAAGATGTGAACTTGAAAGGTGTAGAGAATATCTCAGAGGGTCAGAACGAAGGGACCAGAGAACACACTAGCATCACAAACACGGTGGGCTCTGAGATGTGAGGGAGGGAGAGAGTGGCAGGGGCTATTGGGCAGGTCATTTCTCACCAGAGTCTATCCATTATTTCTCCAGCTTGAAGGCCTACCTTTAAGAGGAGCTCAGGTAAAAAGTTATGAAAAGAGCCTTCAGGTATACACACACGTCTTTTCTTAAAAAGAATGCTTCTATGGGAGTCAAATGGCATGCTTTAGCCATTTGACTCCCATAGAAGAGTCTGTGACATATTTTGATGTTAAGAGGAATTAACCTTCCTTCCTTCCTTTCCTTTCCTTTTCTTATGGTACCAGGAACTGAATCCAGGGGTGCTTTACCACTGAGCCACATCTCCAGCCCCCCTTTTTTTTAAATTTTAAGACAGGGTATTGCTGAGTGGCTAAGGCTGGCTTTGAACTCATGATCCTCCTGCCTCAGCCTCCTGAGCTGCTGGGATTACAAGTGTGTGCCACCATGCCCAGTGGTCCCTTCTTTCTTAGAGATGTTGAGCTCAGGCAATGGGGCAGTGGCCTTCTCTGCCTCAGCCCCATCCAATGATAAACACATCTTTGGTTAAGGGGCTCTTTCTCTCAAGTGCTGAATAAATGAACTGCCTGGTATTGCCATGGTATTGCCATGAAAGTAAAGCCAATTATTGGACAAGCCCACATCTCTCATTTTGCTTCAAGTCACCACTTACTAGGGAGAGAGCTGTTTTCTCGACTCTCCCAGGATAAACCTATAAAGGAAAAAGAAAGCCAGAATTCTTCTGGTCTTGCCTGTTTGTTGGTGCTGAAGAGATGGCAAATAGCAGAGTGGGTACTGGCAAATATTACAGCTTACCTCTCATCCCCAGTAGGTTTGCCAAATAAAATACAGGATGTCCAGTTAAATTTGAATTTCAGGTAAACAATGAATACTTTTTTAGTTCAAGTATGGCTTAAATATTTCAAGTTTAGCTCTGTGTGTGTGTGTATGTGTGTGTATGCCCTCAACCTGGCAACTCCAATCCTCATTTCCCGTTTTCATTTTTAAGCCTTTGCAGAGTGCATTTAGGGTCTCTGTTCTGCAGAAGGGTGTCCATCTCACCCTTAAGGGAGTTATGCTGGAGAGCCGCCATCTTCAAGAGGTCCTGGAGGATCTGAGATCGCCTCAGATGGGGAGCTAGGGAATGTTGGCAAGAATGTGGAGCTGAGGGTGCAGGGGATCTGACTTCTGGCCCCAGCTCCGCTTTTGAGTGATTTTGGACAAATACTTTGCTTCTCTGGGTCCTGTTTTTTTCTTACCTTATAAATAGTGGAAGTTAAATTGGAGGGTCTCTGAGGCCCCTGAGTGGGGGAGTTTGGGAAGAGAGTTCTGGCTTGGGATGTGGAGTGTGAGGCGTGAAGGCAAGACTTCAGTCTGTCCTTCCCTTTGCAAATTCTGAGGGAGGATAAAGGGCCATGGCCGAGATAGAGACTTGCAGGCTACTGAGCTCAGGGACTTTGCTTTAATACACAATTGGGCCTGAATTCCTGGTGCTTCAGGTCTTGATGGAAAACACACCCTCCCACCAGAATGAGAAGTGGGGCAGCCTGGGGTTCACCCCTCCCATTCCCCCACTGACCTGCACATTGGAACCTGTACATGGTGTCAGGGGGCCAAGTCCGCAAGAGGCCTCGGAGGTATCTCTTAGCTGAATACCCAGGTTGGATCTTTCTTTGGGCCTGGCTGTCTGGCTGACTTCGGAAGTACAGGTACGGTTGCCAGGCTCTGTCCTGCTCCATCTGTGGGGACACCAGGCAGAAAAGAGCACATCTGATGAGCCCTGAGCTTCCCAAAGATGCAGGCTGGTTAGCACAATCCTCGTCAGTAATCCAGAGGCTCCCAGAGGTGACAGGAGGCACCAAAACCAGATGCCTTGGCTAACAGACATAAACCAAGAGCCTATGGAGCAAATCCCTGAAAGGCCCCAGCAGATTTGCAGTTGGAAGGGGAAGGAGAAATGACAAATCCCAGACCCCATCTTGAGATAGAGCCTTAGAAAAGGATAAAGCCTCAGAAGAAAATGCATTACTTAGCTAGGCCTGTGGAAATCATTTTAGTCCCTTTAAAAATGGCTCTGCACAATGGGAAAGCCAGTGGGAAAATGAACATCAGTACTAAGTGTTTGTAATATGAATGAAGGGACAGACAAGCCATGTCCATGTTCATGGGGAGCCTGGCATTTTGAGAATATCTGGCTCTGCTCTCTGCTGCATTTCATTTCAGCTAGGAAGAATTTTGGGGGAAACTTCCTGCCAAAGTCAGTCCTGCTCTGCAAGATGTTGCAGGGAATAAATGTATATAACATTTCACACTTGGCTAGGGATTCACATTATACAAAGAACCTTCACCTTATTATAATCCTCTAAGGTAGACACTTAAATGATGCAGAGACTTCTCTCGGAAGTTGATCAGTTAAGCATAAGAATGGCAACTGTGTGGTACTTGTATTGATATCTATCACTTTCCCCCTGTCCATGGCAGACATTACTAATCAATCACAGCATTCTTGACTACCAAACCCATTATGATATCAGAATCCATTCTTTCTTAAAACATTTTTTAAAAATTGAGGCATAAATTATACATATATTATATATTTATATATATACATATATGCATATATGTTTGTGCATATATATATATACATATATATTTACATATATATGTATATATATACATACAAAATACAGAAAACTTCATCATCCCAGAAAGTTCCTTCATGCTACTTCATAGTCACTGTCCTTCCACCTACCAGATAATTACTATTCTGATTTCTGGCACTACAGATTATTTTTGAACTTCATATAAATGGGAACATATATCATGTATTTTTTTTTAAAGAGAGAGAGAAAGAATTTTTAATATTTATTTTTTTAGTTTTCGGTGGACACAACATCTTTATTGTATGTGGTGCTGAGGATTGAACCCAGGCAGCACGCATGCCAGGCGAGCGAGCTACCACTTGAGCCACATCCCCAGCCCATATCATGTATTTTTTGCTGCTCCATAAAAATGATCTACGATATTCCAATGAGAATTAGCATAAATATAATACTTATTTATCACTCTTTGGTTCAGCAGCTCCCCCCAAGACAATAACACAGACTGGGAAGATAAAGGGTGTTTTAGTTCAATTTCTGCTATCATAACAGAATCCTAAGATTGGATAATTTATAAATACAGAGGATACACACACACACACAAACACACACACACATACACATATACACATGTGTGTATATATGTGTGAGTGTATATCTATATATAGATATAGATAGGTGGGTATAAGTATCTTGAGGCTGGGAAGTCTAGAATCTGGTGAGGGCTTTCTTTTTTTTTTTTTTTTTGAGAGAATTTTATTTTTAATATTTATTTTTTAGTTCTCGGCGGACACAACATCTTTGT